CGGGCCCGCCCGCGGCGGCGCAGGAGAGAGAGGCCGCTTCTGTAAGCGCATGCGTGCGCTTCGCCTCGCCCTGTGCACAGAGACCCCGCAGGGCAATGGCTCAGCTGTACCTTGGGCCGCAGCCCCTACCGGCCCTCCTTTTGCCGCCTGCAGAGCTGCCCCCGCACCTCTCCTCCCCAGTGCCGTCTTTCATGTCACGCTGCACCCATCAAGGGCCCTACTGCCCTTCCGCCCGCACCACGGCTCTTCTAAACACACCACGGTGGGCAATTATTTGGGCTGGAGGACCTCATTGGGAGTTTTGGTGGGCACCCCCTCCCGCGGCCACAGCTCACCGAAACTTCCTAAGTGCTCTGCCCCGCGCTCAGGCCGCAAGCAGGCAGGGAGCGGCATCCTGCAGGAGGACGACGGGTGGGCGATGGCAGTGTGGGGCCAGGGCCCCGGGCAGAGCCGGGACCGCTCCTTGCATACCGCTACCATGGGCACCCGTTCCCTGGGCAGGGGCATGTGGGGAGCGGATTGCCGATCGTGGCTCTGCCCCAGGCCTGGCCCCACATTGTCATGCCCAGGGTCCCCATGGAGACTGGCCAGGACCCGTGCAGACAGGGCACATGGCTGGGCAGATGGGCTGGGGCTGCTGCCCTGTGGGGAACAGCATCTGGGAGGAGGACGGGCAGGGCTGGGGCTGGGATCAGGGCTGCAGGGCCACGGCAGCACGGGGCCAGGGCCCGGGTCCGGGGCAGAGCTGTAATCCGCTCCCTGCATGCCCCTGCCTGGGGAACCGCCCCCATCGCAGGGACATGCAGGCAGTGCCTTGTGGCTCTGCCCGGGCACTGCGAGCACCCTATGGTCCTGGTTCTGGATGCTCCCTGCCTGGCAGCAGCCCCATCCCATGCACTCAGCTGCCTGCCCTGCCCACACAGGTCCGGGCTGGTTTCCGTGGAGACCCCACCTGCATCCAGCTGCTGCAGGGGCTGCTGGGAAGTGAGTCCAGCTGCAGTGCTGCCCCAGCCCTGCGGTGCACCCAGGGGCAGCAGAACTGGCCACATAAGCCATGGCCCAGTCTTCCTCCCACACCTGGATCAGAAGGGGCTGAAGGACCTGCCATGAGCCAGACAAAATCCCTTGGCAGGCTGGATTTGACCTGTGGTCTGAATTTTGGCCACCCTTGCTCTAAACACACCAATGCACCTCTCTGCCACCCACAGCCCCATGCCCAAACTAGGGCTGTCCAACTTCTGAGTGGCTTAGGACTTCATGCTGTACAGACTCTCCAGGCCCCGCAACTGTGTGGGCCCAGCAGGCTGCCCTGCCCAGTTCCCAGGTTTAGAGGAAGTGGCAGAAGTAGAAGCTGGAGGGGAGCCCCGAGACCCCCAATAGCCATAGCTGTGGTAGCAGCGGAAGCAGCAGCAGGAGTGATGGGGGAGCTGTGCCTTGGTTAGAGCCCATGGGCCACCAACTGGACAACTCTGTCCTAAACTATAGCCTCACCACACACATCCCTTTACACTAAGTCAGTTTTCTTCTCTAAGTGTGCTCCACAGCCCATTTCTCCTCCCAAGGTACACCACCAACCATAACATGCTTTTTTCCTCCCCCCATTTCTTACACATGCATCCTCACTGCAGACCCCAATACTAATGCAACTATTTAAGCTCTGTCACAAACCCCCAATGTTCATGGAACGTCACGCATGTTTTCCTGAATTAGATTTGCTTTATGGCGTGTACAGATAACTTAAGAGAAGCTGTACCTGGCTTTTGTCATTCATATGTTTGTATGAATTATGGTATTTGATATGAATGTATTCTTATATTTTTATAGTATTACTTAGGAAGGGTTGAGTAAGAATTTGCATCAGAGTTGGCTAAGCTTAATCATTGGCCGGATAGGCCTTTGTGGACTAGTCCCAGACACTTGCGTCAGGCCATTCCAAAGATGAACTGACATTTTAAAGGGAAGAGTAGCCAAGGTAACACCTAAAAACAATCTAATAGGAAGATTTGTATTTCTCACAGTAGGGAGAATAAGACAAAGTTTATAATGTACTAAGGTAATTGAAAACCAAGGATATGGAATTAGCAGTCTTCATATCTGGTATTTCCTTGTTATAGTTAGATCTGGAATCACCCCCAACCTGCCAGTCAGATACCCAGAAGCAGGAAGTTGTATGCATAATATATGTTTCCTGAAAATTCAGTAGAGAAGTGTAAACCATCTGATAAGGACAAGTATTTAAGAGTTGCCATGGCAACTAAAGTTTCTCAGGCATTGGGTGCTCTAGTCCCCCCCTGTGGCCAACATGACCTAGGGCTAGGCAACATGAGCTCACAGATTAGCAGAGACTTTGGCTTGGTCATAAGTAGAAGCTGGAGGGGCTAAGATGCAGAGAAAAGAACAAATCAGAGACCTTAGTTATTGGTTTATTTTCATATCTCTGTCTGTATGCAGCATACAGTTACTGATTCTTCTGTTTTCATTTGTTTTTCTAATACATTTTGTTATCTTTTTGTTCTAATCTTTTTGTTATCTTTTATAACTTACCGTCTGTGTGGTAACTATGATTTCAGAGCATTTGAGCAAACAGGTAGGTCTTTTCTCCAAAGGAGAGGGTCAGTAATTTCTAAGCACATGCTAGATAATAAGTATGATTCTTAAGCTGGCAAAACTTCCTCAGCCAAGAGCTAATAGGACCTGGGTGAGATTGGTAAAGTTAAGGCACCCTTGGGTGCTCCCAGTAGTCAAGCAGCAGATGCCAGAGAGGGGTTTGGAGCTGAAGGAGACACCTGAAGGTATAAGAGTACCTCAGAGCATCTCAAAGGTGTAGTTGACAGAATCCATGTGTGTGTGTCAGAAGGCCTCCATCCACAGGTGCTCTACCATTTATACACACAACTCCCTCCTCCCTTGTTTTAGGAAACATAGTGCTTGAAAGGACATGTGTCACTGAGTGTAACCCACAGCCATTGCAAGGCCCTCTCACATTATCTCCATAGGTGGCGGAAGGCCAGAGCTAATAGGGCTTAGCCCCCTCAAACGCAGGGCAGCAGGTAGGGCTTCAGGGCAGCCCAGATGCAGGCTCTGGGCTGCTGCAGCAGAGAGGAGAGGGATGTGCACACTCAGATATGCAGCTAGGATCGCAGCCCCAGTGTGTGGCTGCCCAGCACAGCAGGCAAGTTTCAGCCTACTTCCTTTGTGAAGGGGAAGGGGTTGGGGGGGGGCAAACAGATCAGTGTGGGAGGGAGTAGAGCAAGGACAGGGGCTGGGGTGAATGGGGCCCTGGCCAGGCTGGGTTGTGGGACAATCAGAGCCCGGCGGCACATCCAGGGACATGGGTGGATGCACATGGTGTCGCATTGTTCCCAGTGCAGCTGCAGCAAGGAGCAAAACCCAGCACTCAGTGGCAGCTGCCTCTGCCCCGCACATAGATGAGGGGGCACATGCCACCTGGGCCTGCACCAAGGTGCACACAATGGCAGGATCCCACTTGCACCCCTGGACGAGCAGCCCAAGTTCCGATTGTCCCACCACCCAACCCCACTGGGGCCCCATTCACCCCAGCCTCTGCCCCTGCCCCACTCCCTCCCTCACCACTGGGGCTTCAATCTGCTCCCCCATGGTCTGCGCACATGCTCAGCCCTCCCCCCCATCCTCCAAATAATTTTTTCTCCCTCTATGATTATCCCCTTCATAAACATACTAAGCTCCATCTTTAAAGTAGATATTTTCCTTTGCCCCCCACTATGCCCATTGGAAATTTGTTTCAGAATCTTACTGCTCTAATGGTAAGGAAACTTGTTTTTATTCCAGCCTAAATTTATTTATAGCTATTTTTAACTACTTATTTTTATTCTAGCATAGTTGGCTAGCTTAAATAGTTCTTCTTTCTCCCTGATGTCCAACCAGATGCATTTATAGACAACAATCGTACTCTCTCAGCCTTTGCTTCACTGAAGGGAAGTCAAGCTCTTCTGGTCTCCTGTCATATTAGTTCCTTCATTCCCTTGATCATTCTAGTAACCATTCTTTGCACTTGGTAGTTTGCCTGCATCTTTCTGGAAATACACACATTACACCAGATGAGGCCTTACTAGTGCTTTGTATAAGTGTTAACACTTTTCTCTCTCTCCTAGAATATTCCTCTTGATACATCTACAAAGTTACATTTGTCTTTTTCACAGCTGCATCACACTGACATGTCATAATCATCCTCTAATCAACTAGTATACTCAGGTCCTATCCTTCTCAGCCAATTGCCAGTGAAAAACTCATATTTGATTGCCAAAATATTTCTTATGATGAGTCCCCAAGTGCATAACCCTGCATTTCCTATTATGTAATTTCATCCCATTCCTATACTATAATCCCCCAAATCATCTCATTTTCTGTACAACTTCTTGATACTCCTCTGTATTGATAAGATCACCCAACTCTGGGTCATCAGCAATTCTCATCATTGAACTCCCACTTTTACCTTGGGATCAGTAGTGTCACTATTAAACAAGGTTAGTCTTAGAACTGACCTTTGAAGAGCTCTCTTAGTAACCTGCCTACAGCTTGATACCTTCCCTTTTAGCCATGAATGCTGCATGGCCCCAGAGGCTGGGGCAGGGCATGGTGAGCTCCCTCAAGCGGTGATGCGTTTGGCAGTGGGAGCGTGACGGCAGCAAGCAGTGAGCTCCTGCAGGTGGCCGCAGCACTGCTGGCAGCAGGGTGGTGAGCGCTGACCGGTGGTTGGCGACCACCCGCAGATGCTACCAGCAGCGTCGGTGGTGGCCAGAGGAGATCGGAGACCACCTGCAGACGCTGCTGGAGGTGTCAGCAGTGGGGGTGAGGGGTGGCGAGCAGCGACCACCTACAGGCACTGCCGGCAGTGTTGGCAGCCTGTTTTTGCCAAGGTCAGGAGGTGCACATGCACCTGCGTGCACCCCACTACGCATCGCCAGTGCTTTTAGCTATTCCCTTACCCATTTTACAGCTTTACCCATTTGGTATTTTAACAAGTGCTTTACTCAAGATTGTATTTATTTGATTTGTATCTACAAATCAGTTATTCTATCGAAGAAAGCTACCAGGTTAGTCTGGCACTATCTTTGGTAAACCTTTGTTGCATTTACTGGTTTTATCAAGGGTAGATCATGCCTGACGAACCTTGTATCTTTCTACAACCAGGTCACTAACCATCTGGACAAGGGACCCAAGGTTGACGTCATCTACTTAGACTTCAGGAAAGACTTTGACTCTGTCTCCCAGGTGATTCTCTCTAACAAACTGGAGAGTACTGGGCTGAACCAGTCTATAGTGAGGTGGGTGGACAACTGGCTCAGAGGTCGCTCCCAGAGAGTGGTGATCAATGGAATGGCCTCATCCTGGAGGGCCATCTCCTGTGGGGTCCCCAGGGATTGGTGCCTGGACCCACGCTATTCAATATATTCATTAACCGTTTGGATGAAGGGGTAGAAAGCGCAATGATTAAGTTCACAGACAATACCAAGTTGTAGGAAAACCCGAGCACACCAGAGGATAGGGCAAACATCCAGGAGGACCTTGTCAGACTTGACTTACAGGTAGAACAAAATCAGATGAGGTTTAACAAGGAGAAGTGCAAGGTCCTTCACCTGGGTAGGAAGAACCCTCACCACAACTATACCATGGGTGGTGGCCTACTGGCTGACACAACACCTGAACGAGATCGGCAGGGGTCACAATTGACTGGAAGATGAATATGACCCAACAGTGTGACAAGGCTGTCAAAAGGGCCAATAAAACTCTGGCGGCCAATGAAACTCTGGCGTGCATCAGCCACTGTGTGGCCAGTAGATCCAGGGAGGTACTCCTCCCTTTCTATTCAGTATTGGTGAGGCCTCACCTGGAGTACTGTGCCCAGTTCTGGGCACTGCACTTCAAGAAGGACATGGATAAACTCAAGAGGGTACAAAGAAGAGCCACCCATTTGATTAAGGGCATGGAGGGTAGGCCCTATAAGGAGAGACTCCAGGAACTGGGCCTGCTCAGCCAGAGGAGGAGAAGACTGAGAGGTGACTTGATAGCTGCCTACAAGTATCTCAGGGGGGAGCATCAAGAACTAGGAGAGCAACTATTCAGGAGGGCACCTCAAGGGAGGATGAGGACCAATGGGCATAAACTAATAGGGCACATCCACACATGCAAGCATGTGTGCTTGCAGCAGCGCAAATAGGAGCTGTGCAAATTTGAAGCGGGGCTTTTTGCCTCAGCACACATGCCCCGACATGCACTTTGATGTGGGGCAAATTATGCCACTTGGGGCAAAAAAACCCTGCCTGGCTCCTCCTGAATCTGCAGCCAGGTGGAGCTAGAGCCTGCAGCTAGCACCTCTGCTGTCCCCAGCAGTATAAAAAGCTGCCCTGTCCTAGCCCCATCAGTACAAAAAGCTGCCCTGTCAAGTACCTGAGGGCTACTTGCTCTCAGGAGTTTCAGGCCCAGCCAATTGGTACCTGGGGACACTACCCCTTATGCCAGCTGGACTGCTGAAGCAGCCCTGAGAGCTCCCTGCACCCTTTACCCACTGCAGCAGTGGGGGCTGCTGCCTGGCTGTGACCTGTTGCGTACCTGCTAGACCCAGATGGGAACTGCACAGCCAGTAGAGGCATCTGCCTCTTTGGGTCAGCTGCCAGCAGGCTGTGGCTGCAGGGTTGGCACTACTTTGCGAGGCACTACAGCCGTGTGTGTCCCCTGCCTGGCCATCTGGGCAGCTATCTCCTGGAAGATGTTCCCAGTGTGGTGGCCTGCCTTGAACTGTCACAGCATGTCCTCCTGGCTCCAAATGGCTAGGAGATCAGCCACCTCCAGCTGGGTCCAAGGTACAATCTCTGATCAGGCTACTCTGCCTGGGTCCTGCCACTTGCCTCCCTAGCAGGAATTCTGGTGTTCCCTATTTGAAAAATGAAAAATCCCTGATAAAAAAATCCACAAGTCACTGTCTAAAATACCCCAAAATCCATGTTCCTTCACAACTAAAACAAAAGACCACTATATGAGAGAGAGAGAGAGAGAGAGAGAGAGCAGGCTTTGCAGGAGTGGGGTGGGAAGGCGGGTGGAGGGGATGTTGGTGGCTGTGGAGGAATGTGGGTAGGTGCGGGTGGATTGTGGAGGGACTGTGTCGGGGGGGGGCGGGGTGCTCAGGAAGGGTGGGTCTTCTCCCCCCAGCAGGATGCAGCCTCCCTGCACAGCTCATGGACTGCCCCCCCCCCCCCCCCAGGGGCTACAGCCCCTCCACAGAGGCCACTTGGCCCCCACAGGGCTATTCCTGCTCTGCCTGGCCCCATCCCCTGCCAGCTCCTGCAGCACCCCCCCTAGATGGCTGCCCCACCCAGCCCCAGCCTCCCAGCACTTGAAAAATAAAGAAACCAAAACAAACAAACAAGCAAACAAAATAAGTCTTGTGCTCACCAGCAGTACCAGGGGCTGTGGGGACTCTGGTCAACAGGGTATCCGGCTGTCACCCAGCCCTGTGCTGCCAGGGGGCTGACAGTAGCTGCTACTGTGGTGAGTGCCGGCTTGGTGAGTGCCGGTTTTTCTTTTCTTTTCTTTTCTTTTTTAATTGCAGGGCCATAGGGGGGCGGGCGCGGCCATAGGGGGGCTGGGGCAGTGAGTGGGGCTGATGGAGGTCCCCCCATGGTCCCCTCTCCTTTCCTCCAGCCCCTGAACCCTCTACTTACTGGCAGGAGCCTGGGTCCAGTTCCCTGCGGCTGGCACGCTGCCTTCCCCACATGGCCAGGTAGCATGCTTCAGCACTGGGGCAAAGGCCAACCATAGAGACGCTCTGGCTGGCTATCAGAGCATCTCTGTGGAGGACCCAGCCTCCAGTTGCCTCAAGCCCTGTCCCACTTTTTTCCTCTGTGGGTGTTTTTGACTTCTGGATATCCAGGGGTCTAATTTTGCTCCCACACTGCAAATTTGCAGCCCAGGGAACAGTTTTTCGTTCCTGCACGTGCCTCTTGCAGCATCTCAAAGAGCTTTGAGATGCTGTAAGAGGCATGTGCACGCTCATCTGGATGCTCCCATAGAGGGTTAATTCAAGCTGGATATAAGGAAAAACTTCTTCTCTGTAAGGGTCACCAGAATCTGGAACACGCTCCCAGAAGAGGTGGTGCAGTCGCCCTCCTTGGAGGTGTTCAAGACAAGGCTGGACAGGCACCTTGCCAAGCTCATCTGAGCCCAATACTTCCTGCTCATGGCAGGGGACAGGACTTGATGATCGTACAGGTCCCTTCTGGTTCTATAATTCTATGATTCCATCCTACTTCTCACACATTTAATTATTCTTTCCTGTGACAGGATCAGGGTCCAGGGGCGACTGTACCTGCCAAGCCTTGATGCGGTTTATTAGGTTTGGGGAAGTTGCCCCCAGGGCCCCAGAGTAAGCCTTGTCTAGTTTCACCTTGCCCCTAAAGGACATTATGCTATGGCTCTCCTAGACCTATTAGCGGAGGTACCAGTTGCCTTATAGACTACTCGTACCCTCCTTCCACCCGTAGCCATGCTCATACCTTGCAGATGTTACCTTAAGTTGCCCTCTGGCCCACCTGACAAACACTCCCATCAGCCTGCCTGGCTCTGGCAAGGCTCTCTTTTTTCTCTGGGCCCCTGGTCCTAGCCCTTCCCCAGGCTTTGGCCCTCCCTTGGCTTAAGCCTACTCTAGGCTCAGCCTTCTGCTTTCTGGGCCCCTGCTCTAGTACAGTTGCTGCGACTATCTCAGCCCTCTGTGTTCCTGACCCCAATCCAGGTAGCTGCCACTGGCCTTGACTCCCCCAACCTTAGCCAGCACTGGCCCACAGCCCTCTGGGTCCCTGACCCCAGGCCAGGATGCCTAACTCTGGCCTTAAATCACCCAACCTTGTCCTAATGCCTCACACCAACCTCAGACCCCTGGGTCCTTGGCCTCAAGCGAGGCTGCCTGCTACTGAGCACTCCACCAGGCATCCTTCCGTGGTCTCCACATTTCCCTCAAAACCACAAACCAGTTTTCTGGTTAACCTAATCAAAACATAAATACAAGCACCACAGCTGTATGACAAAAATTCTTCCCATGTTGGGTTGGTATGTCCCCACAAGCTTTAAGTTCCCCTCAGCTTTTCCCTCACCGCTTTCTGGGATAGCTTGGGTGCCAGGTAGGCTGACCACCTTTTCAAAAGGGAAAGGTGGAACACATATCCACCTTCCCCTCCACCACTGCTGGTGGCAACACCACCAGAGCCAAGCACAGCAGGGCTACCTGCTGAGGGCTCAGGGCTCCCCGCCCTACTCACTTTCCCCTGGGGAGCCCTGCACTGGCCATGTGCTCCCTGCCTGCCCAGTGGCAGCTGGGGGCACAACTCCACACCTCCACCACCACCCCTGCTGCTGCCAGGCGGGCAGGAGGTGCCTTACTATGGTGGCACAGCCAGTGCGATGACACTGGGGGCAGGGAAGCAGGGTGGGGAGCACAGGCCCACAGCAGGCAGCCTGCATCTGCCCCCACCCCACGCACAAATCGGGGAGGCACATGGCCCCTATGCCCCCTAGACGAGCCACCCATGGCTCTGTCCCATTCCACACCCCAGCCCCATGCACTGTCCTAGCTGGGCAGTGCCCTTAGCTCCTGGCCCCACTCCCTCCCTCACCATGGGAGCCTCGATCTGCCCTCCCTCCCCCATGGACTTACCTGCAGGGAGCTGCACTTCACGCTGCCCAGCTGTGTTCCCGGCCACATGGTTGTGTGTAGGTGCACACTAGACCTGCGTGAAGCATTAAGTATTCACTTCGAATTCAGTCGATTTTAAGGGACAGTGATTCAATCTGGTGATTCAAATCATTGTCTCAATTCGATCTGGCCGATTCAGACACAGACTATAATGGGGAATCACTGAAACACATGTAACAGATTGCCAATGTGGTTTCACCAGATTGGCTTGAGATACTTACCCTGGGCTAGAAAGAGTGCCAGTGAACTCTGAGCGACACCAGGAGCCCTGCCCTGTGGAGAAGGAGAAGCCAATTGAAAGGAGGGGTTGGGGGCTAGCCACCCTGAGCCCTGGTTGGCTGGTTTACAAGCCAGGGCGGGACTGCCAGAGAGGATAAAAGGAGCAGCTGAATCGGCATGGGGGAGCTGCTGACAGTGACTCTGGGGAATGATGTAGGAGGCTTAAGAAGAGCTGGGGAGAGCTGACCGAGCAGAGAGATGCCTTGAAGGCCCTGGGAGAAGAAGGTAGCAGTTGTCAGCCGTGCCTCCAGCCCTGCAGCAGAGAGGGAGCAGCAGCCAGGGCTTGGGGCAGAGAGCTGGTGCCCCAAGGCCTCATCGCAGTGTGCTGGATGTGCTGGGCATCCTGGAGGCTAGGGGTGGCAGTTGGGCCCCCACTCCACTGCAGAGAAGAGGCAGTGGCCCAGAGTACAGGCTGGGATCCTGAGGAGCAGCAGAGAACCTGGATGAGGGTCCTTGGGAGCTCAGGGCACAGGCCAGTGCTTGGAGCAGAACTGGCAAGCTGCAAGGCGTGTGGGGTGCCCAGCCAGTCATCTGGAGCAGGGCTTTAGAGCAACGACCCCTGGGAGCTGACTGTGCTGCTGACCCTCTGCCACTGATTACCCCAGAGGGGACTCAGTCCTGTCCCTTTCTCTGCAGCTGATTGTCATCAGATGGAGTCCCTGAGCTTTGTGCTTGGGTCATGCTGATTGCTGCAGGAGCCTGTTGGAGCTGCTGGAAGTAACCACCTTGCTTCCTTGTAGCAGCATCTCAGCAGTGGCTGAAAGCTGCCAGTTACCCTACCTGTGGTTCTTGAGTCAAGGGTTGACTAATGCATTCTGGTTTGTTTTGTGGTTCTGGTTATGCCATTTAAGTTCACTTGTAAATAACTTTTCCTATTATTCTTGTTTTGTAAATAAAGTGTAAATAGTTAAATCAGTTAAATGTTAGACCTTCTTGGGACCATGGGCTGATCTGTGGGGAGCAGGGGCTGGCCAGAAAGTAAATTGGTGCTGGCCGGAAGACCTGCCCCGCTTTTACCACACCATTCCTGATATTGGGCAGGTGTGGCAACTATTGGGCCGCCACCTGGGTTACACACATAACTTTGTCATTTTTTTGCAATTTGGATGAAAACAGCCGGGATGGTAGTCCCTTATGAAGACATGAAGCCTGCCAAGTTTCAAAGAGATAGGTGCAGTGTCTTCTGTGAAGTGCACCTCAAACTGTTGAAAGCAAAACTTGTATCACTTGTGTGTGTTAAGGCAGAGCGGGATGAAAACAGGAAGGATGGTAGCCCCTTGCACAGGCATGAGGCCTTGCTGCAAGCCTTCTGAACCTCTCTGAATTGATTCAGAGGCTTCCGATTTGATTCAGATCTTTTAATGGGTCTCCCGATTTTTCAACTCGGATTCAAAGCTTTGGCTACCAAATCGAGCCAAATCTCCTCCGATTCAAATCTGCTACCGAAGCTTTGCACAGCCCTAGTGTGCATGCACATGGTGCCCCCTGTGTCCTGCTCCCAGCAGCCCTAAGCAGGCTGGAACACTGTCAAACTGCAAGGGAAAACCCACTGTTTCCCAAGGATCCCTGCATTAGGCTGTGAATCTGGGACAAATGCTGTCCTGGAGTCATGCAGCCCAGGACCAGGAATTCATAGTTTCATAGTAGGTAGGGTCAGAAGGGACCTGAGCAAATCATCAAGTCCGACCCCCTGCCATGGCAGGAAAGAGTATTGGGGTCAAACGACCCCAGCAAGATGTACATCTAGCCTCCTCTTAAAGACCCCCAGGGTAGGAGCCAGCACCACTTCTCTCAGAAGTTGGTTCCAGATCCTAGCCACCCTGACAGTGAAGCAGCGCCTCCTGATGTCTAGTCTGAATCTACCCTCTGCCAGCTTGTGACCGTTATTTCTAGTCATTCCTGATGGTGCTCGGGGGAACAGGGACTCCCCCCAATGCCTGCTGGTCCCCTCTGACTAGTTTGTAACAGGCTGCTAGATCCCCCCTCAGCCTTCTCTTGTGAAGGCTGAACAGGTTCAGGTCCCGTAGCCTCTCCTCGTAGGGTCTGCCCTGCTGCCCCCTGATAATGCAGGTGGCCCACCTCTGAACCCTCTCAATGCTGTCCACATCCCTCCTGAAGTGTGGTGCCCAGAACTGGATGCAGTACTCCAACTGCGGCCTGACCAGTGTCGCATAGAGGGGGAGGATCACCTCCTTGGACTTGCTTGAGATGCATCTGTGGATGCATGACAAGATACGGTTGGCCTTCCTGACTGCGTCCCCACACTGTGGGCCCATGCTCATTTTGGCATCAATAATGACTCCCAGATCCTTTTCTGCCCCTGCACTGATGAGAAGGGAGTTCCCCAGCCTGTAGGTATGCTGCTGGTTCTCCCTCCCCAGGTGCAGCAAGTTGCACTTGTCAGTGTTAAAACCCAACCTGTTCTCATCTGCCCACCCCTGTAACCTGTCTAGGTCCGATTGCAGCCTATTCCTCCCTTCTAGCGTGCCCACTTCCCCCCACATCTTAGTGTCATCTGTGAATTTGAACAGGGTGCTTTGGGACTGTCCTGCCCAATTCGGGACAGGTGGTCATCCTAGTGCCAGGCAGTCCAACTCCTGCAGCCACCTTGCTCAGAAGCTCCTCTGCCGACATCCTGCAGAGCCAAACTGCTTGCATGGGCTCAGGCACTGGCCTTATGTACCTCCAAAGCCCCATCCCTTTCTGTCAGGTGGCTCTCCAGCCACCCACAGGGGTTTCCATTTTGGCCTGGTGACCAATCTACTCCTTTCTGCTACTTGCATCTCTTTGCTTCAGGATTGCCTAGATGTCTGCCCCCTTTGCTGCTTACTGTAGTGCAGCTAGCTCCCAGGTTAGTCCTTTCCCTAGAGGTAGCTCCTATCCTGGCTGTTACTGGCCTGCTTGCTTTCCAGCAGCTAGCCCTTGCGCAGCTGCCAGTTCCACCCAGCAAACTTAACCTGCTGCAGCATCCTCTTAAAGCAGTGATTTTCAACCCGTGGTCTGTGGACCCCCGGGGTCTGCAGACTATGTCTAAGGGGTCTGAAAAAAATGACTATGATCAAAAGTTATGTGAATATCCACCCTTACAATTCAAAGGCGTCTGTACATCCATTTGAAATGTTTTAGGTCCACAAATGAAAAAAGGTTGAAAACCACTGCCTTAAAGTAACAGGAGCCAGCCCTGTTATATTTCTTTCTAATTTTTTTCTGAATATTTCCATGCTATTGAAAGCACAGAGGGACTAAGATTTCCAATTTGCACCTTCACTTTTTCCTTGATTACTGTCCTTCTTTTATGACACACCTGGACCCATATAGTAGTTTACCCAGCTTACTTTCCCAATACAGACAAGACCCAATCCAGTTGCTTGGCATTAGCAGCCTTGCATAAATTCAGTTTCTCCCTGCCTTGCCATTCCCACTTCAGTATAAGCTAAGCAGATATATTTATAAAGCAGGCTACAAATCAGATTGCTCTCCATTGGTTAAATTAATCAGATAGACTACAGCCATGCCAAACTAGCTATATTGCTGCTGGGATTTATTCTCCATGCCTGAGGCTGTCAAAGCAATTAAGTAATTTTGGAATAGAATTATCAAATTAATTTTCAAATCTGGAACAGCAGTTATCCTTATTTTGAGATGACAAAGGGTGTCTACACACTCATTAATGCGCTGTAGTTACAGCACATTAAGTTTAGTACTTGGATAACCAAATACTAAATGAATGTGCAGTAACTGGCACTACTGTGCAGTAGGAGCAGCACATGAGTTTTTACAGATGCTTCTTCTTGCATATGGGCATGTGTAGATGAAATGGGGGCCCAAAATTGAAGAGGTGGGTTTTTAAAAACACCGCTTTAATTTAGAGCCCTTTAAACCCACGTGTCATGCACACACCCTGCTGACTTACCTGCCTCTCCGGTGGCCGGAAAGGGAGGGAGAGCTGCCAGCGGGTGGATTGATCCCTGGGCTGCTGGGGGGGTGGGGGAGGGGGCGCTGGTGCTTCCCACTGTGGCTCCCCCAAGTGGCACCTGCCTGCAGCCACCCGGCTCGGGTGGTCCCAGGGGGCACTGCAGCCACGGAGGGAAGCACCAGGCCCCTGCTCAGCTCAGGCAGGCAGGCAGCCTCCAGGGGGAAAAAAAATAAAAATAAATCAGGCTTTCTCCTTTTCTTGGGTGGAGCTTGCCTTCCTGGGCTGCTGTCAGGCTGCCTGC